ACAAGTGTTTGTTTGGATCCTCCCCTCGTAAGCCATGGAAGGATGGGAGTAGATGAATGAGTCCAGACTTTAGCTCAAATGTGACCCCCGTATCAAGAGTTGGAAAAGTGATACATAGGGGTTGTTGATTAAGATTCGGAGCTGTAAGCTCCCTCAATGTTCTCGTCTCAAGAGCCATAGTGATTGGCTCTTCGGTCTCGCTAGATTTAGAACTAGCACTTGATGATTCCTCCGAAGAAGTATTTGGAAATAAATTCCTAAATCTTTCGAAGGCTTGTTTCGTTTGTGGGTTTGTTTGGTAGATGATTTCGTTTATAGATCGGGTTCTTACCATAAACTCAAACAAGCTCAGAAGAAATAGAAATCTTTATACTTTCAACTATTTTTTTTTTCTTAGATTGAAATAAAAAGAAAAATTAATTGCCTTTCCCCGGCAATGGCGCCAAATTTGACGTGCACTTTGTCGTGAGTGCACTCAAAATAAATTCAACACTAGCACTTATACGTAATATAGGTGAAGTAGAGTTCGTATCCACAGGGAAAGGAATAACTCTTCTTTTTATGTAACTAGTAAATAAAGGGGGGTTTTGATCGAGTGATTTGATTAAAATTAAACACGAAGATGAACGAGTTATATGGGATTTAATTCAAAGATAAAAGTGACTTGGCATTGCTACTTTCCACTTGTTGATATATTTTAGTCGATCATTGTTATATCTATAACTTATCTCCTCTCGAATACTCAATCGAGGAGTATATCCAATTCATCGAGGATAGTTATTAACAACGACCGTTCATTAATAACCCTTACTATTAGTCGAGTATAGAACAACGCCATATACCGACTTGATAGTAGCATTTAATCTTTTAACTCCTTGATGAAATCAATTGAGATTGATAACCTCAACACAACGGTTTCGGTTTAACCAACAAAATTAATCCCTCTTCAGTTTATTAACCACGACCGTGCATTAATAAACCGAAGTTACTTACTTGTGAAACTATCAACGATTAACCATCGGTTCGTTGATCGTTTCTAGTAATAATTAATATGTGAAACAAAACTAGTTGATCCTTTAAGTAATGTTCAAAATATTAATATGAAATATGAATAGAGATTAATTAATACTCAAGGAAGAATATTAAAGAAGATGAATCCTACTATGGTTAATATCAAGATGTTAACTAATTGTCATCTTAGTAACACTCCCCGATATTAACATAGAGGAAGGAATAGCTATTACTAAAACCAATGTCAAGATGTTAACTAATTGTCATCTTAGTAACACTCCCCAACATTGACATAGAAATAGTATTTAAAGGAAGAATTAATATTCAAGGAAAAGAAATTAAGAAAATAACTCACAACTTTAATAATCAACAAGCTTCAAGAGCAATACCAAGAAATGGAAGTTTAGCTCCTCATTTGGAGACTAAACATGCTAAAAGAAATATAGAGAAATGCTATTCTAAACTGAGCTTAAGAGTATAAAGGAATTGGTGTCCTAAAGTGAAGGAAAGGAGGTGTATTTATAGGCTTTTTGGAGTGCAGGCCGAGTACTCGATCGAGTATGTACATATACTCGATCGAGTATGTGTAGAAACCTGAATTTGGTCAATACTCGATCAATACTCGAGTAGATTTTATATGTATACCCGATCAAGTATGTCGGTGTACTCGATCGGGTATGACAATAGAACGTGGCCAAATCTTTCCTTGCATGTTCTTTTGTTCCCGGATCGGATCCTAGAAAATCAGTATTGGTACTCGATCGAGTATAAGGTATACTCGACCGAGTATACCCCAAAATCAGGAGTTTTTCCTTCTTTTTGTCTTCTACTCTTGCACCCTCCTTCACCTTTGATCATTTGATTGATCTTGGACCTGTTTAAGCTCAGAATGAACCTAATCTAAACAAATTACAAGAGTTTAACAAACTAAACTATTACACCGAAAGTGTGTAATTTCTGAAATATTAAACAACCAAAACTAGCTAAAAACGTAAATAAACACACGGAAATTACAAACGTATTTCCAATCTCCCAAGCTGAGCCTTCATCTCCACAACGGTTGAAGCACCGAGCTGGGAGTGTCGCCGCCGCCACACACCTTTTCTCCGGGTTCGTAGCACCTGCATCGTCATCGCATCTATTGGATGGATCGGTTTGTTGCAGGTCGCGATTCTCTCCCCTTAAATTCAAACCGCTATCGTCGTGCTCTTGCCCTAGAACTGCAATGAAGATGTAAACTCATATATATTGAAATGTCAGATTCTGTCTGATTCGTCGTCTTCGGCCAGATCCGCCGTCGTCTTCGATGGAGCGGTTGTTGCAGGTCACGACTATGGTTTCTGTGTTGGGGATGGGGCTTGGACGTTGGGGAGGCGCACTGGAGAGGGGCTGGAGCAGAATAAGCGAGCTGCTGAGGGGGAAAGGGCAGGGCAGGGCAAGGGTAGGGGCAGGGGAGTGGGATATGGGGAGTGGAGCTGGGAAGGGGGGTAGTGACTGGAGAAGGGGAAGGGAGGCTGGAAAGGGTGACGGTGGCTAGGGACGGGGGCTGAGGGCTGGTGGTGGTGATGGGTGGGATTACCATGGCAGGTCACTATGCTCGTGTCAGTGAAGTCAGGGCTACAATGGCGGTGTCACTATTGCGTTCTCATTGTGACGATGTCACTATGACTGCGGCGGCGGCGGCGGCGGCACGATAATTTTATTGAGCAGAAAGCGGTCATAGTGACATATTTCACGACGGGCGGTGGCTACAGTGACACAGGTGGTGGCTACAGTGACACGGGCGGTAGCTACATTGACACGGGTGGTGACTACAGTGACACAGACGGTGACTACAGTGACACGGGCGGTGGTTGTAGTGACATGAGTGGTGGCGGTAGTTACAAAAAAACAAACACGCGGTGACATAAAATTTTTGCAGTTATATCATGTTTTCTAATTGCACATATATGACCTTCTTCATCACTTTTTTGCCCCTTTTAAAAGTGGTTACTTTTTGGGTAATGGGTTCAAAATTAGTAATATCCAAGTAAAAACCCCAAAATAAAAGTCATCAATGAGACAGTGATCATAAAAAAGATTAATTAATATATGGATGCTCGTAATTGTAACATCTGGAACGTTAAGCCATCACTTGGAAGAAACATACTTCCATATTTAAATGCCACAATAAAGTCTCAAAATATATGCATGCTCACTTCAAATTTAAAATTCTAAAGTTAATTTCTTTTGTTTTGTTTATGAAATAGCGTGAGAGGTGAAATCAATCAGGAGTAATATTTATTTGTTTGAAATTCTCACAAGTTTTCCAAAACATCTCAATCAACATTATAATTTAACTTTATACCATAATTAACCGTATGAGTTACTTATACTTTGAATTTCACGTACGAGAATCTTCAAAAAGTGAAGAACAATTAGTTAAGTAATTTACCAAGTTTATAAAGTCATCCAAAGGGGAAAATTTTGGGCTATAAATACCAGACCTTTTTTCCATCTCAAACACACAATTCTTAACCCAAAATCAGTTCTAAAAAGTCCTGTTCTTCTGCTATTTCCGAGCTCCAAAGGGGAATTAGGGAGAGAAACTTCAAATCCTCATATCTTCTTCATTTTAGCTTCAAATTGTAAGTTCTTTATATGTATTTTCATCCTCTAAACGTGTAGAATCTGTTTGTTTGCTCTATTCTTTGAAAATTTCCAGAATATTTATCAACTATTTCACATTTTCTTTCAAAAATTGAATAAAATAGTTGTTGATGTTTAATTCATTCCAATTAATTATATAGTTGTTTAATAGCCTCAAGGTAATTATTTATCTGAAAAATTTTAATTTTCACGCAGCAGAAGTAATTTTTAATTAATTTTGGTAATTATTAGATATTATTGCATAAATTAAATTAAATACTCAAAAAAAGCAAAAAAAAAATAGTTTTGGTCCTAATCCCAGTTTATTTCACTCTGATATCACTACAAGTAGTTAATATAAAATATATAACGAATTTAGAGTATTTTTAGTTGCTTTTTGCATTTTCTAGTTAATATTGGGAAAATTATCAATTAGTTGTTAAAATTGGATTTTAGGTTTATAAATTCGTGAAAAATTCCATAAAGGTATATTTTAGTTAATATTGACTTGTTGACATAAAATTAGGGATTAAAATTAATAAATTGGACTAGTTGTTTAAAATGATGAAGTAGTAATTAATAATTGTTAGCCATTTTCATTAACTAAATTCTTGGAAAATAATTTCTAACTTGTCTATGAGATTAGAAAATAATTTAAGCCAACCATATTCAAGAACATTAATAAGTCCTATAAATAGGATACTTTAATGAAAGGGATTTACATTTTATCTATGAAAAATAAATTCAATTGCCTAAATAATGAGTTTGACTAGTTAATGAATTTGGCTATTTTTATTAATTAAAATATTGGAAAGTTAATTCTACCTTGCCTATGGGTTTAGAAAATAATTTAAGTCAACCATTTTAAACACATCAATGACACCGACAAATAGGATAAATTAATGAAGATAGTTTCTATTCTTGTCTATGAGGAAGGAATTTATTAGCCCAATTTTAGTTTTAATTTCCCTAATTACTAGGTGCAAGAATATATCCATTTCGAATTACTCAATTCATTGCCATTATTTGCATCAATCTTTAGAACACTTAATCTTTAAACATTAATCTTTAAATTGAACTTTGCTCCTAGCTATAAATTGGCATAATTTAGAACACAATCACTATTCTATATTGAAAAAGCTTCCAACGATTAGCGATAGCCCGTGACTAAATTTAAATTAAGAAACTTCTCCGTCATTCCTCAAGAGACACGATACTTGGAGAAAAACCAAAAGGTTAGACTCCGTTTTACTACAACGCTGCGAAAGCGGTTATCACCACACCATATTCATTCAGACCAGACTGAAACAGACCAGAAATGAAGATGGCCTAATACAAATTATTTTACCTTGTATTAGCAGAAAAGGAGATGGCCTGCAAAGATAAAATCTTCATTTGACCAAATATTTCAACGACACATTGTGCAGAGGGGCTATGAACGTATTCTTACTGAAGAATACAACGACGACAATGAGTATACACCCACTGAAAAAGTCAACAAATCCAAACTCAGAACTTCTTACTTTTGTGTAAGGAAAGGTTTTGTAAACAGATTTTTTGTGTGCATAGTTTTGAATACTACTACCTTCTTCATCATATAACTATGTTTGGATGTGACTCTCGATCTTCCAATTTGATATTATATCGCTAATATGGAGTATGTAAGATTATAGACATATAGACTTTAAGATTATCTTATGCATATCATAGTCCCCTACTAGTCCGTCATTTGTAAGTGTATCATTTGAAGTTAATAGTGCACCGTGCATAAGAATAAGTGCAACTATTCACACTTTTTACAGGAACATACACATTTTTTTATTCGAATCGCACTAATTAAATATCTATATAATTTGAAACATGAGGTGCAAAGTTAATTTAAAAAAAAGTAGAACTGAAATCTCTCACTTTCTACTTTCTAGTAATTCTTGTACGTTTAACCATGTATATACATACTTGACTAGATAGGGTCATATTGATTTTGAAGAGGGTAGTTCATATACATAACTCCTGAAGAGAAGCCCCGTGCGGACAAGATCGTCAAAGGGTCTTCCTGGTGGAAAGTTTTGATAATTTTTTTGTGCATATTTCACATCAAGTGTAGTTTATCCATACCAAATTTCAGCTCAAAATTCAATCGGGAAGACAATCAAATAAATTCTGGAAACATACTGCACATTATATGTGCACAATGCACATATGTTTCCAGAATTTATTTGACAATCTTTCCAAACGAGTTTTGAGCTTAAATTTGGTATGGATAAACTAGACTTGATGAAGAACATACTTAAAAAAATTCATCAAAACATTCCACAGGGAAGACCCTCTGATGGTCTTGTCCGCACGGGACTTCTCTTTAGGAGCTCCTAATAAGAATGGGACTCTGATTTTGAATATACTATGTACTTTATATTATGTTCTAACAATGCAGGTGAGATTCAAGGCACTTCTTAAAGAGTTTTCTTGTGTTGGGATATTTAAGCAGCGGCGGATGCAGGAATCCCCGGCAGGAGGAGTGAAAGTGTAAAACAATACATACAAATACATATATATTAAAATTTTGGGGTAAATATAACTAGGAGGGAAAAAATGGCAGGACGGCGGCACCCATTTGCCCCTCTTTGAGTCCACGACTGTATTTAAGTGATAAATAAATACAATGCATCTTAGAGCATCTTTAGTGGTAATGTGCATCGACTAAAAATGCATTGCCCCACAGTTAAAATAGACATTATGCATGGTAAGAAAATCATCTACAATGGAACCGTCTATTTTACTGGCGCTGTTGAGTTGGAACCACAACGAGTACACACTGTGTGATGCTCCGTCTACTTTCAGCAAGTCTGATGAACATCGTGACTCAGCAAATATGACATATAATTTTCATTTTTCTTTCAACACTTTTGGTGGGAATCGGAGGATGTAATCCAATATATATTCGCCGATCTCAAAATTGCACTTCTTCAAAGAATGAATAAAAATATCTTCGCTGAATCTCTGAAGAATAACATCAGAAGAACAAAGGGCAAAGATATCTCTGCATCTTCTTCAAAACTTGAAGCGGGTAGTTTAACTCTTTTTTCATTTGATTATCAAATGTTGTGTATTGCATTTTGACGCTAAATTAAATGGATAAACTATGTGAAGAAGCTACACGATATGAGTAAATTTAGATTAATAAGTAATTTCAATGATATCAGCACATGTAATCGAAAACCTTCAATTCAGAAGTTCAATTTTGGAAAACCTTCTCAATGTATTGAGGAAGATCGCTAGAAGAAGGTAATATTAACAGGTAACATGCCGCTATTTATCAGTGGTATATGGTAGGTATGAAAAGTAAATTAATTCTTTAAACACACAATTGCATTGGAACAAAAATATTATTTTAAATATCTATGTATCCACATCAGCTTCATAGGTTGTCTACTTAAGTGACATGTCCATTTTAATGAGGTACAATCCACATTCCCATTGAAGATGCTCTTAGAACGTTTTCAATGCATTGTAGTCTAGTCTAATTAAAATGTGTCACCTCATTAACTTAGACTTGAACTAATTATTATATCCTCCAACGTTAGTAGTTTGTGGTAACATGGCATTATGGCAATAGAAAAATTAAATACGGTCAAGAAGGATGTTTGTGTGTAGAAAGACGTGTACACATACTCCCTCAGATAAAAAAGACGCCACTGTTCAGAAAATAGCATAAGGAAATGAAAAGAAATTGACATAGTGGAGAAGCGGACGGAAACATAAAATAAAGTACATACAGTTTCATATCAACATGCTATAGCACGTCATTTGTGTTTTTTTAAATTAACAATTGATAAATTTTGTAAGTCATACTCCGTGTAACATTTAAAAATGTAAAAAAAAAATATAAAACTAGAAAAATGTAAAAATAGGAAAATAGATGAAATTGTTAAGAAAAGTACATGTAAAGTTAAATGTAAGTATAATTTAAATTAAATTAAAGTGTAAAACATTTTTAAATGTTGAATATAAAATTTATTTCAATACGCAAAAGAGTATATTTTTCAGTTTTAGTTTCACACTGTTTTCGGCTTTTCAAATTTATCAGTTTTTTTTAACAAAGAAATATCAACTTTATTAGAAAACAAAGGAAAGAAAGTACAAAACGTTAATGAGAGGGAAAATCTAATGAAATAAAGAGAACTCAAAATAGACCAATCCTAAATTTAGAAGCATAAATTTTTCGAGAGCTTCTCCGCCAATCTTGCACATCTTGTAGGAAAAGACATTGTCTTAGGATGTTTAGGCTTGGAAGAACTCCAAGTGTATAGGTTTTTCAATAAATATTAAAAAACTACTATAGCCTGTCAACAACTCGTAAACTGACCATATTGATTATATTTTAAAACTAAATGTACTTATATGATACTCTCTTCATATTCAAATATTGAAAAAAATAAGGGCCTGTTTACTAACAGAGATATTTTCCTGTTTTCTACTTCTGTTTTTCGTTCTCCAATTTTCTGTTTTTATTTTTCAGTTTTTCTATCTCCAATTTTCTGTTTCTATTTTTTAGTTTTCCATTTTCAAATTTGAAAACATGTTCATCAATTTTTTCACATAGTTCTCCAATTCCACACCCTTGACCCCTACCTTTACCCTTACCACGATCTTACACTCTATCCATACTCCACCACAACCCTTCATACCCACCCATACCTACTCGTAGGGGGCGGGTAGGGAAGTTATGGGTGGGGGTGGGGTAAGGGGTATGGTCGGGGTGGGGTGGTAAGGTTTAGGGGTAGGGGGTTGGGTGGGGGTAGTGGGTGGGTTAGGGTCGTGGGTGGGGTAGTGGGTAGGGTTGGGGTAAGGTAGGGGTAGAGTAGGGAGTTGGGATAGGATGGCGGCAGGGTGGGGTCGGGACCAGGGGTGGGGCCGGTGTAGGGAAGGGATGGTGGTAGGGTGGGGTCGGGACCAGGGTGGGGCTGGGGTAGGGAAGGGGTAGGATGGCGGTAAGGGTGGGGGTAGTGGGTAGGGTTTGGGGTTGGGGTAAGGTAGGGGTAGGGTAGGGAGTTGGGATAGGATGGCGGTAGGGTGGGCCCGGGATCCGGGTGGGGCCGAGGTAGGGTAGGGTGGGGGTGGGGGTAGGATGGCGGTGGGGTGGGGCCGAGGTAGGAGACATGTGGTTAGGGGTAAGGTAGGGGTAAGTGGTAATATACGAGGGGTGGGGGTAGGGTAGGTTGTGTCGGGGTGGGGTCGAGGTGGTAGGGGTGGCGGTAGGGTAGGGTGGATCGTGGTGGGGTCGAGGTGGTAGGGGTGGCGGTAGGGTAGGGTGGATTGGGGTGGGGCCGAGGTCGGGGCATGTGGTGGGGGGGTGGGGTAAGGTCATTATAGGGAAAAATGGGTACGCGGGGTGGGGGTTGGGTGGGTAGGGTAGGGTAGGGGGTAAGGGGTAAGGTACGAGGATGGAGGTACCGGAATGAAATCGACATCGGAGCGGGACCGGACCCACCACTAGGTGTAACTGTGTAAGTATGCAAATTCATTGCAAAGGCACTGTAGCATCTGCGTTTTCCAAATTTGGAAAACTAGTAAAGGTCACTTTTCCAAATCATTAAGGAAAAGAGAGACATGTTTCATTTTTTCCGTTTTGGAAAACGATTTGGTAAACGCGTTTTTCTTTTTTCCTTTCTCCAGTTTTCCAGGAATTTCTTTGGTAAACACGTTTCCTGTTTTCTGTTTTCCAGTTTTCCAGTTTTCTGGAAAAATGGAAAATATTTCTGTTAGTAAACAGGCCCTAACTTTTTTGAAAAAAATAATAGTGAAATAGAATGGAAAATATTGTTGGAAAAATGTGTTAAAATTACATTAAATTATCAATTTTGGGCAGAAATTTGAGTGAGTCCCACTTTCTATTTGGGCTGAGCCAAAGTGATTTCGGATTTTCCTTGTTAAGAGCTTCGATTCAATATATAGTACACTCAAAATGGATAACGGGTGAATGAAATATTGGTTCTCGAAGTTCACTAGTTAAAATGGAGAAAATTAGGAAAAAGATGAAATTCTAGTGTCATTTATCCCACACTGAAAAACATAAGGGATTTTCACCCCTTTATAAAGGTTATTCTCTTTGAAGGAGTTAAGATTCCTAGATGGAAGGGCTTTCTTCAAGCGCAAGAGGTGCCGATCAAATCCCAAAAGCGAAGAAGAAAAATTGCGACTTGAGTGCGCGTCCAACCTGTGGACGGAGAACGTCATCTAAAAATTTATCTTACAAAAATAAGATTTAATTATTATTTCTTCCCGTAATGTTCCTATATTTTGCTCCATAACCGGCCCACTAGCAGGTTGTTGCTCATGTTCAACGATTACTAACATGCCGATGCTGAACCGTTACAATTTTGAATGGCCAACGTTCTTCTCCCTTAATGCACCTTTAAATGGATATTTTATGGACATATTAATGTCCAAAATTCTGGTCATTTATGTCCAACGTTCAGGTCCATTAAAACGCACTTAACACACAACAAATCCGTCCCTATATATAGCTGTCAGGTGCTTTGCAACAACACATCATGAAAATAGACACAGTCTTCACATAGATATGCTTGAACGATTGATAGAACGTCATCCTGACCGCCGTTTTCAAGCTCTATTTGCCTTCTTTTGATCTCGTAGCCAATCCTAGAGCTCTTTTGTCTTCACAACTTCGTCTTTAACACCTCATTGACCTCCAAAGCTCTTAGTCCACTCTCATGATTAAGGGTAGCTTGTTATGGGTCTTGCCCATTTATACACCCCAATATTGTCTAGTCCAGTTTGAGCTGAAAGGGCGTGTTAAAATATTTGTCCCACAGTGAAAAGTTATAAAACAATAAAATACTATATAAGGCTTTGGGCTACTTCTCCTATCAGATTGACCTTTTAGGATGGATCCCCATGTCTTAACATTATGCTATAAGTGCATTTCACATTGATATAATATTTCCCAAAACCGAATAAACCAAAATGAATCTGGAAACCCTGGACACTTGACCGAAACCCGAAGTTCCCACTCCTAACTACTTGATATGATGAGTCTGTGACCAGTTTGTAAGGACAGGGGTGCTGTCTCTCTCTTATGTGTGTGCGTGCTTATGTTTATTCAACTTTGATTTGGTTTGAACCATTTAGCAACTAAAACTAATTCAGTAACTTACAAAACTCTTGTCTAGTATTTTTGTATGGGGAAAATTAATCTTCAAGGTAGATTAAATAAGTACAATATCAAAGAATTCTACTGATTTCTTCGATCAACAAAGAAGCAACCAAACAATAGGAAGGGGGGTGGAAGAAAAGACAGTGGTATATGAGGCCTGAGGAGAAAAAAGAGGTATGGATAGTGACATTGCCTACTAGCTTATACGTAGTATGAGATAATGAGACTAATGTGTCCTGCATTATATCAAACTAATAAACTATGTTTATTTGTTCGGTACATGTGACCGGTCAGGTGTGATCCATTCTCACTTCATCATCTTCAATGACCGTCTTGGAACTGAGGATCAGAACTAAAGACTTGGTCGGCCCGCAGGTCAGACCCTTAGATCGATACCAAATTTCCTAACCATTTGAAGTCGTAATGGAACGCCATTAGGCACACAACACCTTCAACAATGCCAGAGGATCCAACAAATCTTCTACAGTTCTACGTACAAAATATGATCGGACTACAGGGGACAACGACATGGATGGTTTCTTTTCTTCCACCCCTCTTCCTATTGTTTGGTTCCCTCTTTGTTGATCGAAGAAAAGAGTAGAATTTTTTGATGTTGTACTTATTTAATCTACCTTGAAGATTAATTTTCCCCATACAAAAATATTAGACAAGA